CCAACTGCATCTAAGATACCCTAGTGCTCTACATCATTATGATGTCTCAGACTGTAGATATTTTATGAGTTCATTAGGTTGATTGCCAAATTTATCAAAGATACAACGATAAATGCTATGTTGGTAAGAGTTTTGTTGCGCCATTGGAATTTAATTATTATTCTTTATGAGAGCTGTATGGTGACATTCTTATGATGCTAGATATCCTGGATTCAACGTGCTCAAATTGCGTGCTAAAAGTGGAATGCCGGTTGCATTTGCTGATTTTGAGGTATGGAAAATTGCTTCAGGGAATTGTTGAAATTATATCATGCTCTACTCGTTCCTTGCTTTAATTCTTCAATGAACATAGTATTTTTTTATAATCTTTAAGAATTTGAAGTTGAAATGGTTTAAGATTTTTAGTTTTTGTTGTTTTACTACTATCCAATCTACTGCACTTTCAGAGCATGATCTTTGATGGAGGAGCAGAAATCTCTGCTGTTCTAAATATTCAAATGAGAAACTTTGAGCATTCTCAGATTTTCAATTTAAAATGAACACGGAAGTAATAGGCCTTCTGCTATGCTTAAAGAGTGATGAAGTACGTCTCGAATATGACTTCTTTTTACTCGATTTTCTTATTCCAGGAAATTGAACAAGCTAGCAAGGTTTTGGAGGAGCTTCAGGGCAGCATGCTACCATCATCAGACCGCGGGGGCATGCATATAGAGTAATTCTATTAAATTACATCTGAATCTTTATTAATAGCCCAAGTATGTTATGACTGATTCATTTCTTTTATTAGGTACGCTCGGTCTAAAATGAGGAAGTCTTAGTTGAAAAGCACTGATCAGTCTAATATGATTCAAAAAGTCTGATTGATTTGCTGCGAGGAATGCTTGGTTGTGGTTATGGCCCACTCATTTGCTGCTGCTCTGAAGTTTTATGGCATTCATCAGTCTGGTATCTCTCCCTAAATAATGATTATAAATTATGTAAACAGATAAGTTCATGGACAGTTTAAGTAGAAGCACATAGTTAAGTATCGTTACATATTGGAAGTCGTTTCGTTTTTGGATTTTTAGTTCGATGAAGGCTGTTGTTATCTCATAGTGTAAGTGTTAGGAGAAGCTTTCTAAGCTAAACCAGGAGCTGTCTTTAGCTCGGAGGAGTCCCCTCAAGACTACCAATAGTTTTGGTCGTAGAATCTCGTGCTAGTTAGGTTGTAATTTCTTAGTTAAAAAAGATAGAAGAGAGGAAACAACCATGGTCATGGATTGGGACTTAAAACTCAGCTTTGTGTTCACCTGTTATGGAACTTAAAGTAACTCCCTGATAGGTTCAGGAGCGAAAGTGTCAATCACTTCCTCTTTTTAGCGGCGGATAATAGGAAAACCTCTCTCGTGGCCAAGCAAGCAGCGGGTCAACGCTACACCGCTTTTGCATCTGCTAATTCATAGACTATTACTTCTTTCACTCGGTAAATAAATAGGTACTCACAAGGCTAGGTCTGACACCCGAAAGAGTCTTTCACTTTACCTATCTTAACTGAGTTTACAATGAAGGAATAAATAGGGAGAGGAGTGACGGAGAATGAGGAATCACGCCAACGTTATGGAAGTTCCTGGATCGTGTGAAATAAGAGTTGTAGGAGCAACTTCACTTTCGGTGTTCGGCGCGGTAAGGCCGGGGACTGCAAATCCCTTTTTCCCTGGTTCAAATCCTTACCTCTTAAAAGATATTTGTCATCATCCCGTCTTTACTGGATCTGTTCTTGAGTACCCTAAAAAAAGGAACCGATAGTCGATTAAAGGAAAATCACACTTTACTCGGCTCTCATCATCACTCCTAACAGGACATGTATGTCACCAACTTTCTTGCTGATGCAAAATCCTGTTCTCAAAATTTGATTCTATTTAGGGTTTGGAATCCCGTTCTCATCATCTGCTTGAACAAATTGCCTTATTTCCTCATGAGGGGATTGGTCACCAAATTCATAGGTGTTCCTGCATCATCTATTAGGGGCAGTTTTTGGCGCAGAGGACATTGACACGAGATAGTTCTTGAACCAAGAAGTCAAGGGAAGACTTTAAGATCTTCCTCTCCATCTAACTTATACATTAAGCAAAATCCTACCGTCCAAAGCCCTCATCTCCCTTCCTTTCTAATATGTCTACCCATGTTCTAATTACGACGACCCATGGCCTCCCGTATCGAACTAGATTTAATCCGTACAATCCATTGTCACTCTCCTTCTTCATGCGCCTTCTCTTATACCCATTTCTCATAGATGTCTATCAAAAACTAACTTAGATCGATACGTTCGTTTGGAGTCGACTTTTAACATAAAGCATCGCCTTTGACAATGAACATTTTTGTGTTTTTCATCTTTGCTTATGGCCCAAATCACAATTTCTGGTAAATCATCATTTTATCATCCATAAATTCTTTGTCTACTAAAGATAACATCTCTAGTATGGGACACTCTGCAGTAAGAATGGATGGACATGGGCTTTATAGGCTTTATAGGAATGATAAGGTATGATACACGTTTTTAATGAACTTTTTTGTCTGATTCTACACGAATAAAATGTATAAGTAGGGTATTAAAATTTCGTCCGTTCGTAGATATATTCGTTCTATGGGATTGATAACGTCATATGAGATGAATGAAAATTTTCATTATGTCACGGAGGTCTAACAAAAACAATATCAAAGTAGACCTAATATTAATAGTAGGAAATTTAAACTTATATAAAAATAAAAATTGTATACTATATTATTCTTATTGAATACGAAACAATAGTATCTAGCAAACTTAGCAATCTTTACTCTTGAATGCAAGCAATACTCTTGGAGCACGGGTATGATGAGTCATTGTCAAAGATATACAAGTTTAAAGCTTTCTATCCTATGCTCTCTTTGATTCGACAGGAACACTCTTGTTGCTTACAAGTGGTTGAATTATCCTAAGACAATTTTATTGATTCTATGCTCATTCGTGCTTTAGACGAGTATTTTGACACGTTCTTAACCCTGCCTAAACATGCTACCTACTCTTCATTAGTTGACTAAACGAACAAAAACGATTTCAATATAAACTCTTCTGTAATCGACCCATATGCTATTAAGAAAACTTCCATTAAATCCAAATAATTATTTTGGTTGAATTTTCACGATAGAGATCAAAATATTACACGTTTTAAAAATGTTACGTAAAAGTATTAAACTTTAAATATTCAATTCTTTTTTAATATTTGTATTTTTTAATAAATTTTTAAATTCAATTTTCCGTCTAATAAATTCTTTTCATAAATATTAAATTGTAAAATAATTTATATGAAATAAACAACTAATTTTATTAGTTAAAAATTATTCAAAACTCATATCTTGCAACGTTAATATCATTTCAAGTTGAAACATTAATATCATTTTAAGTTGCAACGTTAATATTATTTTAAAAATGACGTGGGGTTTATTAGCATTAAAGAAATATTTTAAAATTTTATAGTAGTTCTTTCTATTTATTATGTATTCATCGTGAAGAATAGATGAATGTTAAATTATTATTATTATTTAAAATAACATAATATTTACAATCTCATGAAGGCATTGACTAGGAGTTCTAATCAAGTGTGTATCCAAGGCCACGTTCTGGCTGACGTGGCAGTGCAATAATTTTATTCATTACCTATTATAAATTAATTTCTATTTACCATAATTAAATTCAATTTAGATGATGTTTATTATAAAATTTTCTTGGATCTTTTTTTTCATTATTGTTTTTCATCCATGGTGGGAATTCTAATCCGTTAAAAAAGGTTTAAAGATATTAATTTTAAAATTATATTGATCCACAGTGAAAATCATGATAGCCTATTATAATAGAAAAAAATATGTTAAATGCATATCGGACACGAAAAAGGTACTCTGCCAATCCTAACACTCACTTCAATCATCACCACTTTAATAAAAAGTAACTTTACTTTTTCAAAAAAATAACGGTTTGATATATATATATATGTATATATAAATATATATGATGCTCTTTTTTACTTATTATCCATTCATTGACACTCGATCCAATAATGTTAAAAATATTTATAAATGTAAAAGATAAATGGAATATTAAATTATTATTATTATTTTTAAAAAATATATAATATTTACAATGTCAATGTGAAGGCATTGACTAGGAGTTCTAATCTAGTGTAGCCAAGGCCACGATTTGGCTGACGTGGCAGTGCAATAATTTTATTGATTACCTATTATAATTAGTTTTTATTAATATGTTCTAAATTCAGACTATTTCAAATTATTTCGATAGATGAATGTGGGTTATTTCAATATATTTGGTTCGAAGTCAGTATAAATAATAACTTTCAATTTTTTTAAATTTTTTTTTTAGCAATTCTATTATGAGGTCGACATGTTTTTCTTGGATTCCAATCTTTTCATTATTGTTTTCTCAATTTTGTAAATTCTAACACGTTAAATTAAGATATTATTTTTTAAAATCATGCTAACGGACAATAAAAATTATGATACTCTATTATGATATATGAAAGTATGTTAGATACATGTCCGACTTCCTGAACACTCACTTTGACCAACATCCTTTAATAATGTTACCTTTTTTTTAAAGTAACTTTAATTTTCATATATATATATATATATATATATATTTTGTAATTAATTTTTGAATTTATGCTAACATTTGAAATATATACCAAGAATTTTTTTAATAATATGCTTAAACAAAAAAAAAAAAAATCAATTTTTGATTATATTTTATACTAAATTAATTTTAAAAAATATTCTTAAAATTTTAAATTTTTTTAATAATATGCTTAAACAAAACAAAATAATAATAATAATAATAATCAATTTTTTATTATATTTTATACTAAATTAATTTAAAAAATATTCTTAAAATTTTAAATTTTTTAATAATATGCTTAAAAAAAAAACATTTAAATAAGTTTTGGAAGTATTATTTGGATACCATCTTCATCTGCGTGAATCCTTTTTCAGTGCATGAAAATCCCAACTGGTTCGTTTCTCCATTTTCAGAGCTTCCATTCCTCTGCAAATTTTAAAGGTTCATCATGGCGGAACCTCTTCTAGACAAACAGAAGGAAGAACCTGAATCATCTTCATCCAGCATTGGACAGGCCGGTCTCTTCAGCAAATTGATTTTTTCTTGGATTAATCCTTTACTTTCATTGGGTTATTCGAGGGCGTTAACTCTTGCGGATGTTCCTCCTCTTGATTCGGAGGATGAAGCAGAGTTTGCTTACCAAAGATTTTCCGATGTTTGGGATTCACTCTTGAGAGAAAAAGGTTCTTCCGGCTCTGGGAACTTCGCTTTTCAGGCCATTAAGAAGGTGCACATGAACGAAAATGTTTTGATAGCGTTTTACACTCTTCTAAGAACACTTTCTGTTGTAGTTTCTCCGCTTATTTTGTTTGCTTTTGTTGAATATTCGACTGGTAATGAAAGGAATTTGAGAGACGGTGTTACGATTGTAGGGCTTTTGATTGTGTGTAAGGTGTTTGAGTCTTTAGGGCAGAGGCATTGGTTCTTTGAGTCTAGAAGGTCAGGGATGAAAATGAGGTCGGCTTTGATGGCGGCAGTGTATAGGAAATTGTTGAAGCTTTCTAGTCTAGGGAGGATGAATCACTCTGCTGGAGAGATTGTGAACTATATTGCTGTTGATGCTTATAGAATGGGGGAGTTTCCATGGTGGTTTCATACAGCTTGGGCTTCAGGGCTGCAACTTGCTCTGTCCATTGCTGTGCTGTTTTGGGTGGTGGGTGCTGGAGCTTTCCTTGGTTTGGTTCCTCTTATAATCTGTGGATTCCTGAGTGTGCCTTTTGCTAAGTCATTGCAGAAGTGTCAGTTCCATTTCATGGTTGCTCAGGATGAGAGGTTGAGGTCCACTTCTGAAGTGCTTAACAACATGAAGATCATTAAGTTGCAATCATGGGAAGAAAAGTTCCAGAGCTTGATCGATTCGCTTCGTGAAAAGGAGTTCAAATGGTTAAAAGAAATGCAGATGCAGAAGACTTATAACTCCATATTGTATTGGATATATCCCACTATTGTGTCTGCTGTTGTTTTCTATGGATGTGTTCTCTTCCAGAGCTCTCCTTTGAATGCAAGCACCATTTTTACTGTGCTTGCTACTCTGAGAACAGTGTCAGAACCTATGAGAATGCTACCAGAAGCTCTTTCAATCTTGATCCAAGTCAAGGTCTCCTTTGATAGGCTTAACACATTTTTACTTGATGATGAGCTGAACAAAAATGAAGTCATTGAAAACTCATCAAATGATCTTGATAAGATGATCAAAATTCGAAATGGTAACTTTGCGTGGGATCCGGAGTCGGGGACTTTAACGCTGAAAGAAGTTGATTTGGATATAGAAAGAGGACAGAAAGTTGCTGTATGTGGATCAGTTGGAGCTGGAAAATCCTCTCTTCTGCTTGCCATACTTGGAGAGATACCTAAACTTACTGGAAGTGTGCGTTTGGATCATATTTGGCATGGCAAGAAAATGCACCATATTTGTTTTGAAAACTGAAGTAGTTCCTATTTTTTTTATACTACAGGTTCAGGTAAAGAGATCAATAGCCTATGTTTCACAGACCGCTTGGATCCAGAGTGGGACAATCCGTGAAAACATACTGAACGGGAAGCCGATGGACACGGGCAGGTATAAGAATGCCATAAAAGCCTGTGCTTTGGATGAGGACATCGATAGCTTTGACCATGGAGATCTTTCAGAAATTGGGCAGAGAGGCCTTAACATGAGTGGAGGACAGAAACAGAGGATTCAACTTGCCAGAGCTGTCTATAATGATGCTGATATTTATCTGCTTGATGATCCCTTTAGCGCAGTCGATGCTCATACGGCTGCAACACTTTTTGATGTAAGGACATGGAAAATCTAGTTTCCTTGAAAAAGAAAGAAAGAAAGAACGTTTTTAGTAGAGATTATTCAAGTAGAACGATGGAAATTTTGCAGGAATGTGTCATGACTGCTCTAGATAAGAAAACCGTCGTTCTTGTGACTCATCAAGTGGAATTTCTTTCTGAAGTCGATAAAATTCTGGTCAGTTCGACACTTCGGATTAAACTTCATGTTCATGTCAAAGTAGTTGTAATATTATGTCTTGCCATTTTTCAGGTGATTGAGGGAGAGAAAATAACTCAATCAGGAAGTTATGAGGATCTGTTGACCACTGGGACGACTTTCGAAAAGCTTGTGAATGCTCACAAAGATAGCTTAATAGCATCTGACACTTCCAAGAGCGAAAACCCGAGAGGTTTTGAAAGAGTCGACACCATGAGATGTGAAAAAAGTGATAAAGAGAATATAAGAAGCAAAAACATATGTGGAGTGCAATTAACAGAAGAAGAAGAGAAGGAAATGGGTGATGTTGGGTGGAAACCATTCTGGGATTATATCACTGTCTCCAAGGCATCTCCTCTTTTGTATTTAAGTGTAATTAGTCAATGTGGTTTTGTTGTCTTTCAGGCAGCTGCAACGTATTGGCTAGCCATTGCCATTAACTTCCCTCACATCAGTAGTACAACGATGATAGGAATCTATGCGGCTATTTCAGTTTTTAGTGCATTGTTTATATATTGTAGGTCCCTTTTGGCAGCTCTTTTTGGTTTAAGAGCATCTAAAGCCTTCTTCAGTGGTTTCACAAATTCTATCTTCAATGCTCCAATGTCATTCTTTGATGCAACCACAGTAGGACGGATCTTGACTCGTGTAAGATCATTTTCACTTCACCTCCGTCTGTATCTTCACCTCCGTCTGTATTTATTATGCATCATGAAGCTTCTGCTTATGTTATATTTAAGGTAGCAACATACTGCACCAAAACTGATGTTGTTGAGATCACAATATATGCAGGCTTCCACAGATTTGAGTGTTTTGGATTTCGACATACCGTTTTCCGTCATCTTTGTAGTCACTGGTGCTATGGATCTTCTTGCAGTCATTGCAATTGTGGCTTTCGTAACGTGGGAAGTTCTCCTCATCGCCATTCCTGCTATTGTAGCTTCGACTTACGTTCAGGTATATACAAAGTTTTGTACAATGTTTCTCATATCCAAATTAGATGTATTGTTCTTCATTTAATGGTGGAGCTCTGCTTGTTGCCTTATGTTTGGGAAGAGTTATTATCTACCCTCTGCCAGGGAGCTTATGAGAATCAATGGGACAACGAAAGCACCTGTAATGAATTGTGCAGCAGAGACATCACTTGGAGCTGTCACTATCCGAGCTTTCGACATGACAGAAAGATTCTTTCAGAAGTTTGTCAAGCTCATCGACACGGATGCAAGTCTTCTTTTCCACTCGAATGCAACCACAGAGTGGCTTGTGTTGAGGATAGAAACACTGCAAAATCTCACTCTCGTTGCTGTTGCATCTCTCCTTGTTTTGCTTCCCCGGGCTCAAACCACTGATCCAGGTAAGACAAATTCAACAAGAACGTAAGATTTCTAATCTTTCCAACAATTTCATCGAATTGAGTATGATTGTATGCGTGATAACATCTACTATATCACGAAAATCAATGAACCCGATTATTGAAATTGCTAAGGATACCCCTTTCTTAGTTTAGCTTCTAGAATCTATTTCAGATCTATTCCGCCCGCCCAGAATGGGAATGGGCTATAGAGTTATGAACTTATAATCTATAATCTAATAAAGTCGATTCCATAATTATAAGTTCATTCCATACACGGCTAGACCAGAATAGAGCTGACCTTTTGATCGTTTAATTCATTGTGTAGGACTTGTGGGGCTCTCTTTTTCTTATGCTTTATTCTTGTCAATTATCTACATTTTCATGGCGAGATTCTATTGTTATCTTTCAAACTACATCATTTCCGTTGAACGGATCAAGCAATATATGCATTTGCCAGTAGAGCCTCCAGCAATCATGGAGAAAAGCAGGCCACCATTGTCATGGCCTACCAAGGGAAGGATAGAGCTGAAATGTCTAAAGGTAAGAGAGCTACAAACGTTTTAATGATACTGGAATGGCATTTCCAATGTCACTTCTCAAGTTTTTGTTCGTTTTAGATAAAATATCGTCCAAATGCTCCTCTTGTTCTCAAGGGAATTACATGCACCTTCCAAGAAGGAACAAGAGTAGGAGTTGTAGGAAGAACAGGAAGTGGAAAAACAACTCTAATAAGTGCTTTGTTTCGTTTGGTGGAGCCCGAGCACGGTAGAATCATCATCGACGGGGTCGATATATGTTCCATCGGTTTAAAGGATCTAAGAATGAAGCTCAGCATCATCCCACAAGAGCCAACACTTTTCAGGGGCAGCATTCGCACAAACTTAGACCCTCTAGGCCTTTACTCTGATGATGAGATATGGAAGGTGAATTCCATCACTGAACTTGCTTTTGAATCTTCAAATGTTGTTCTAAAGTACTAAAAGCCAATTGGGTATTTGCAGGCATTGGAGAAGTGTCAACTAAGGGACGTTGTCAGCCGCCTACTGAACCGGCTCGACTCCTCCGGTATGCTCTTTTCAAGCACGAATACATGTTATTTCCTAATCATGTCCTTACTTTTGTCGTTGCAACAGTGAGCGATGAAGGAGAGAACTGGAGCGTGGGACAACGCCAACTTTTCTGTCTTGGACGAGTTTTACTCAAACGAAACAGAATCCTTATCCTCGACGAGGCTACGGCCTCCATCGACTCTGCAACCGACACCATTGTGCAAGGAATTATAAGGCAGGAGTTCTCAGAATGCAGTGTTATAACAGTAGCTCACAGAGTTCCCACAGTGATTGACAGTGACAAAGTCATGGTCCTGTCCTTTGGTAAGCTAACCACGAACTTTCTCTCATATTCCTTGTCTTGTGCTGAGCCACAGCCATTGACTGAAGCTCTTGTGTAGGACATTTGGTTGAGTATGAAGAGCCGTCTAAGCTTATGGAAACCAACTCCTATTTCTCCAGACTTGTAGCTGAGTACTGGGCCAGCTCCAGGAGAGACTCTTCCCATTTACCCAATCAATTTTCAATTTAGTCCCTCTTATATAAAATGTTTCGATTTGATCGTTCGTATATCAACATTTTTCAATTTAGTCCTTATTGTTGAACGTATAATACTTTGAAATGGCTCTATCTATTTCACGTGAGGTTCGATTTCCTAATTCAAGACCCAATCAGTAGACACCACATTCGTAGTCGAAGGGTTATCATATCGACCCAATCAGTAGTTATATCTATCAATATGTATGGTCTTGGACTTCAATAGGGCTTTTTCTTTAGAATTGGGCTACTTGATACAAACCCTAAACCCTAAACCCTAAAATCTTGTCGCCACTCGTTTTATTTATTATTCTTAATATTTTAGTTATTTTCAAAATAGGACAGGATTTCTGCTTGTTTTACCGAACTCAGGATTTCTGCTTGTTTTACCGAACTCAGGATTTCTGCTTGTTTTACCGAACTCAGGATTTCTTCTTGTTTTACCGAACTCAGGATTTCTGCTTGTTTTACCGAACTCAGGATTTCTGCTTGTTTTACCGAACTCAGGATTTCTGCTTGTTTTACCGAACTCAGGATTTCTGCTTGTTTTACCGAACTCAGGATTTCTGCTTATTTTACCGAACTCATTTCAATTTATGGTTCAAACGTTAAAGATGGGGTTTACTAATTCTTTTTGAAATCCCAAGGTAAAAAGTTCCTACGGAACCAATCCCCTGGATCATCGGATCAACTGTCAATTGCTTAATCAATTACTTCTTTTGAATGCTAAAAAAAGGATTAGTGGCCTTTCGATTATTTCATTTCAAATTCATTGGAATCAACATGAACCATACTTGTCTAGTTGGGATCTGTTTCCAGAAGAACGAAGCATGCCCAAAGCAATCATTTACTCAAAAGGATTTTATTGAGATAAAATAATAGATCAATCAATTGAGATGAAAAAAATGACATAATAGGATAGAGTAAATGACCATAGTGGGCGAGGTAGGTATCAGCAAACCATTTACCCAAAGCAATCTCAGTTGCTGTATTAAAATGACCGTGATCTAAGCAAAAGCCTTCAAATGTGGTAAAGTTTATAGGCAATTCCCAAGAGTCATAGTAATGATATCTGGAAGCTCTTTTTGGACGGCATCTTCAGCTGCTCTGACTGCTGGCAAATCATGAGTATCATGCTTCATACAAAAGTCAAGGGCTATCTTAACAATAATGACGGGTAAAAATCTAGGTTTTATATCATTGCGAATGTCGGTGATGAACTTTTTTAAGTTATCTTTGTATCTATGAGCAGTATCACTCATAGCCGCATTGCTTTCTCCTTGATACCAAAACAAAGCACGCACAACCCCACCTTCTTTTTCTGATGCTTTAATTCGTTCAATGAAATTTTGGTAAAAAGTTGCACTAGGATTGCTAGGGTTTTTAATCCATTGTTCAATTAAAGTGCCACCTCTAGCACAAGGAACTAAACCCACGACACCTGCCTTCTGCCCGGCTTTTGCTTTCAACTGGTGAGCAAATGGTATTCCCGGACCAATCCCTGTAGTTTTGCCAATGTCAATCCCCAAATGGAGAGGTTCATGTGCTATCTCCCATTGGCGCTTAGGGCTCAACCGTAGGATGGATGGATCAGATTGACACTCTAATGGGATCTTCCCATCCCACTCAAGATACCCCTTTTGATTTTTCTCTACCCCACCTCGACCAGCCATGTTGCTCTCTCTAGCAAGGATGAATATGTTTGTGGGAGAAGTAGCCCAGGAAAGGGAAGGGCCAAATAATATCATACACAACAAGATTGATAGTTTCAACAAAACCATTTTGACACACAAGAAAAGTATAAATGAATTAAAAGCTACTTTTTCTCGTCTAACTTTTCGTGAGTCTATTTGCACAGACACAGCTACTGCTCTCCCAGTAACACTCTTAGCACTCTCCCTTCTATTTCTTAATTGATCTTTGCCTTATACTTAATTTTAATTCTATTTTTAGTTTATTTAAATTTTAAAATTAATATCAATGGGTGAATATTTGTTGATTGGGAGTGTTTTTCGATCTTAATCATCTTGGATCACATCTTATTTGTCTAATATAGATATATATAGAGTATAAAAATAAAACTTAAATATTTTTTGGTTTTTTAATAATAAATAATTTTGGAGATAATCAAAAGTTTATTTAAATTTAAAATTATTATTTTTACTTATATATTTGTCCACCATTCTTACCAATAATTTAAAATTATTTGGATCGTAAATTTTAAAATTATATATTAAAATTGAGTTAAAAAATTTTAATTAAAGGTTTGAAAATAAATAAATAAATGTGTTACCAATAACTTTTATTTTTACTCCATATAAAAAATTGAATAAATGACCGGAACAACCCAAACTAATCTTAGTTGAGTTTATACAAATTTCCATGTTTATAGTTGGTATAATTTTACAATACAAATTTTAATATATTTTAACTAATTAAGTAATTTTAAATTGCAATCACATGTGAGCTAACTTAGGGAATAATCATGAGTTTACTGGCAAGGGATACATTGTGGAGAGACGTGATTCCTAACCACACGAACCGAGAATTTTGAGGCATGGAAATGGTATTGACCAAGCTCAGCAAGATCCTCCCCATCTCTTATCCATCGCTCCATTCATGGATTTCTGGTTTGATTGCAAGTGAATTTTGGCAAGATCCTCAGAATGTACTATAGGGGGATACGACTAGTTGCCAACTTCTCCCTACCCAAGGTTATGAATTGTAAGCCGTTGTTATTTCTCTCTTGTTTGCTTATATAACGTCTCTTTCAAAAATCTCTCTTTCGAAAATCTCTCTCTGGCCTCGCTTTCTAAAACCTTCTCTTAAAACCGAGGCCAGAGGCTCGAGCATACGTCGCTTGGCCGTAGGCAACACAAGAACGAATTGGCTTAGCTCACTTGTCGTTGGAAAGTGAGTGTTGCACAATCGCAAGTTTGCTACCATTAAAAGTGCGATTGTGACAAGTGGTATCAGAGCTTTGTAAGCTCCGTGAAATAGCAAAGACTGAGAACATGTCGACGACAAAGTCAAAACCCAAAGCACAAGCTGGCTGACTTACCTTAATAGAGGAGAAAATGTTGTTGCTCAAAGAAGTCCCTGACATCATCCGCTTCCTAGAAGCACGGGTGAAAGAATTGAGTGGAAAAGTCGTAGAGATCGACACAATGGGAAACCGCTTGGATGGGTTGCCAATCGCAGAACTGATGTTTCGAGTGACCTCACTCGAAGAAAAGGTTGCTCCTACGAGCAGCCCAAGACCGTCTGGTAGCCCCGATAGCTCTGTCGCACACAAGGAGGGACATGGTGAAGAGTTCAACGTTCTACAAAATACAATGATGAGTTTGTTCAATGGATTAGCTGACGAATTCAGAACAACGATCGATGACATGCAAGAAAAGATGTCCGCCATGAGCACCCGAATCGAGGTGACCATGAAAGCCGTGGAGAACGTCTCGGTTGGGCAAACTAATATAGGATCCAATAAACTGAAGTTTTCCAAACCTAGACCTTTCAAAGGGAACCGGGATGCCAAAGAGTTGGAGAACTTCATCTTTGATGTCGAACAGTACTTCAAAGCTACACCGGCTTGTACCGACAACATGAAGGTGACAGTAGCCTCAATGTATCTCATTGACGACGCCAAACTTTGGTGGCGTTTGAAGGTACAAGACATCGAGAATGGATTGTACACCATAGACTTGTGGGAAGACCTCGAGAGAGAGTTGAGGGACCAATTCCTCCCCGAAAACGTAGACCATCTAGCAATGGAAAAACTAATAGCCCTAAAGCAAACTGGAAGCATAAGGGACTATGTCAGACAATTTTCGACCCTGATGCTAGATATTAGGGGCACATCAGAGAAGGACAAGGTGTTCTTCTTTATAAATGGGTTACAACCGTGGGCCAAAACAAAAATACACGAGAAAAAGGTCCAAGACCTAGCTACCGCAATTGCCAGCGCCGAGAGACTCCTAGACTATGGAAACAAGGCGAGTTACCAAGGAAAAACAACACAGGCCCCAAACACTGAGGGCAAAACATACAAGCCGCCAGGTCACCGAAATGGAAGCCCCAACAGGTCAAACGGAGGTAACGACAGACCAAGCAGGTGGACAGATAGACCTCCTCAGAACAACCAAAGTGGGGACATCTCGTGGACCTTACCCTCAAAGGAACCACCCGACAACACCTTTACAATGTATATTGTGTAAAGGCCCCCACAAAGTGTCCTACTGTCCTCATCAGGCCTCTCTCACTGCACTCCAAGTGTCCATCCAAGAGAGCAACAACACAAGAGTCGAGACTATGCTAGACAAGAAGGAAGATCAAGACAACCCCCAAATAGACGCGCTCAAATTCCTGTCAGCCCTTCAACGGAAGGTCGAACCGAAGGAGATAATAGAGAAAGAGCTCATGTTTGTAGATGCGACAATAAACTCTCGACCGAGCAAGAGCACTTTGATAGACTCAGGAGCGACTCACAACTTCATCGCCGATCAAGAAGCCCAAAGATTGGGACTCACCATAGGAAAGAACCTTGGAAAAATGAAAGCTGTCAACTCCGAGGCCTTGCCTATTGTGGGAGTTTCCAAAAGAGTCCCCTACAAATTAGGGACTTGGACAGGAGAGCTGGACCTTGTCGTAGTTTGCATGGACGACTTTGATGGGGTACTTGGGATGGAGTTCCTCCTAGAACACAAAGTTATCCCAATGCCACTGGCGAAATGCTTGGTGATCACCGACCGCAATCCCACGGTAATACCTGCAACCATCAAGCAGCCAGGTAATCTTAGAATAATCTCGGCCATACAATTGAAAAGAGGACTCGCATGAGAGAAACCTACATTTATGGCTATACCACTGATGGAAGAAGTGACTACTGAGGAAACTATCCCAGACGAAATCAAGGAGGTACTAAACAGTTACATTGACATAATGTCAGAGAGCCTACTACAAACATTACCACCCCGTCGAGACATTGATGACGAAATTGAACTCCTTCCCGGGGTTAAACCCCCAGCGAAGAATGCATACCGGATGGCTCCCCCTCAGCTAGCTGAATTGAGGAAACAACTAGATGAGTTGTTGACGGCAGGATTCATTCGCCCAGCAAAAGCACCTTACGGAGCCCCCATACTATTTCAAAAAAAGAAG